CGTTTCAAAGTCGTTTGTCATGACAGTGGACCGCTTGATAGCCCACAGCTGGCCCTGCAGTGACATGCCCTTGTAGACAATGCCAAAGCCGCCCTTGCCAAGCACGTTCTCCTTGGACCAGTTGTTGGTTGCCTTCACCATCTGCTGCAGCGTGAATTGCTCGCACACATCCAGACCCTCCCACTTCTCTGCGCACACAAGAAAGGTGGAGAGACGGATGAGCGAGAGGAAAAAATGCAGGGAAGGTGGTCACCCCGAGGGTGCAGATGAACGAACAGGGAATATCGGGCAGCAGAGAGGCAGAGCTGGTGTGAAGTGAAGGATTTGTGGCAGGCAGAGCAGAGAGAGGGGGGGGGCGGGTTTGCTGGGTAAGAGGTCCAAGAATGGGAGAGGAAGACGGCGAGGCAGCATGGGAGCAGGGTTGGGGGTCTCACTTTGCCCACGGGGCCACAGCAGCCATGCGAGCACAGCGGACAGCAGAATGAAGCCCGCAAAGCTGCCCACAGCAATGCCCACTATGGCACCCGTGGACAGTGAGGACACTGCGGCAGGGGTGGGAGGGGAAGGGAGTGGAGGGGGAAGGTGGAAAACGGAGGCGAGCAGAACGGAGCGATCAGGTAACTATAAGAACATTTACATGGGGCAGGGGTAAAAGGGTCGATGGAGGCGATGCAAGGTGTCATGAGGTTGGGATAAAATCATCTGCATGGGACGGCTGTCAACGTAACACTGCATACCAGCGGGCCTAGCACAAGGCAAGGCAGGCTCACCAGTGGTGGTGGTGGAGTTGACAATGGCGCATGTGGACCCGTTGCCAGAGTCGATGGCAGAGTACCCGGCATCACACTGGCACGTGAAGTTGGAAGCGGAGGCCGGTGCAGGCGGCACACACGCCCCATGGCCGTCACATGGGCCGTTGTCAGTGATGCTGCAGAACGCATGGCAGGCTGCCGCGCTGCGCTGGGTGGCGTTGGACACACAGTCCGCATCTCGGCTGAGGGTCAGGCAGTTGCCAGACAGACTCACCCTTGTGCCCTTGCCTGCCCCCGCCACCGAGAAATCTTGCAGGCCGGAGATCGCACCATCGATGCACTTCCCCGCAAACACACCGGTGCTGGCATCCCCCAACCACAGGCTGTTGGGCAGGTTGATTTCAACGGGGCAGACCTGGCAGCCCGCGGCAAAGAGCACGGCATCGCCGTAGAAGAAGTTGTGAGCCAAGTTGATGAGGGCGTTCCCATCTGCCACCATGTTCCTGAAGTTGCGGTTGATGCGCCCATACAGGCTGTTGCCGCTCACGTCACTGGGGGGGGGACGCAGAGGTCAGATGGGAGGGCAACAATAAATTTAAGGGCATTCTACTTTTGGGAGGTAGTCAGCACCACCCAGAATGCAAGCCGCTCTTGTCACGGTTTGCACTGACCACAAGAGGGTGGTGAATAGCTGCATGCAAGCAAGGTCTTGGGAATTGAGAGGCCGGGTTGGTTGGCTCACATTTGGTTGACACACTTGTCGAAGAGGCAGTCTGGCAACGGCCCATAGAGGTGGTTGTTGCTCACCATGCTGCCATGTCATCCCAACACACGCACCGCACCATGCAGCACCATGAGACACACCCACACCACATGGAATCGCTAAGGTAAGGAGTTGGGGGAAGTTACCAACCATTTCTTTACATTGGACAATGTGCTACATTTTTTTGTCTTCTTTTGGTCAGGCAACTTTCTCACTCGTGTGAGCACAAGATAGCCACTCGCGCGCACGGCAGCGACTCAGATGTGCCGCAGCCACTCACATGCGCCATAACTTGGGCAGCGAGCAGATTGCAGATGGCAGTGGACCCTCAATGCTGTTGTTGTCCAGCCAGCTGCCGCGGGCAGGCAGGGCAGAAGCAGGAGGCAGGAAGGGGCAGAGGCAGGGGCATGAGCAGGATCAGAGTGCATTGCACCAGAGCACAGGTGGCTGCTGCAGATGGGCAGGGCGTCGGACATACATGGGTGGGTGAGGCAGGGAGGTAGCCTGTGGCACGCATGCAAGGATGGCACACACATCCATAGGTGAATGGACGGATAGTTGAAGCAGTCAAGAAGGCATGGGAGAAGGGCATGAGCAGTGAGCAAACAAGTGAGAATGGCTCCAATGCCCTTGAAAAGTCACCTCCTCACCGCGGATGTGGATGTTAGCCAGAAGAATGGTGAGGAGGTGTCCTCCTCCTCACCACCCCTAGTCTGGAGGTCGGTGATCACTCACTGCCCGTTTGTGTGCCCCCGAGTCTGGGTGCTGCATGGCCCAAACCGAACTGCCTTGAGTGCGGTGCCAAGAGGCTTTCTGACACTCACTGAGGACCAACCCACTCACTAAGGGCCGAGCGCAACGGTGATTTTGTAGTGACACCCTTGACCTTAGTTGCTGTTTAGCACCTCCCCTCCACCTTTCCCACTCACTTTATTTATCCTGCCATGGTTACCTAATGTGATACAACCATATTCAATACAGGGGCCATTTCAGAGAGACCAAAGGAGCGGGAATGGGGGGGAGACATGGGAAGTTGGGGGGGAGAGAAAAAGGGAGACGCAGGGTGAGAGGGGTAGGCAGAGAGGGCAGGCAAAAGAGGGCAAGAAGCGAGAGCAGGCAGAGAGGGGCAGGCAGAGAGGGGCAGGAAGAGCGGGCAGGCAGAGAGAGCCCTCACATTTATTCAAGCTTCCCCAGGCGACTGATGTCAGACGGCAGTTTGCTGCTCAGATTGTTGTTGGCCAGATAGCTGCAGGGATGGTGCAGGGGAGGAGAGATTGCAGAGCAAAATGACATAAAGGAGAGAGGTTAGTTGTGATGCAGGAAAACACCATGGATACAGTCGGGCAAACGTGTGGTACAAAGGGTCGCCTAAAATCCCAGGCCCGGACACTTCATACATATGGACTTAAAACTCACAGGTACTTGAGATTCGTCATGTTGAATATGGCAGCTGGGATGGAGCCTGTCAGCTGGTTGTCGTTGAGGATGCTGCAGGGGCATGGGGAGGGCGTGCGGATCAGAACAATGCTGCCAGGTGCAAAGCTGGCACATGAAGCTGAATCCTGCTGTAAGAGGATAACAATATCGCTTGACAATTCACATGTGCAGATGGGCATGTGTAGGCGGGCCGCAGGCTCGGGCATGTGCAAGCACAGAAGTCTTACATGGCTTCCAGAGTGGTGAGGGTGGAGATGGAGTCTGGAATGGACCCTGTGAAGTTGTTGTTGTTGAGAGCCCTGGGCACCAACACACAAGAGGCAGCAACAGAGCTGAAAGAGATGGGGAGAGACTGACCTGCTGCTATATGCAATGGGTGCCACGCATGCAAATGGATGGCACGGAATAAAGAAATATGTTTTACAAGAGGGTGGGGGCGAGGGGGGGGAGGAGTTGGGGGGGAGAGGAAAGCGCGGGGGAGAGGGGGGAGAGAGAGAGGCTTACAGCTTAGTAAAGCTGACATTCCAGAGCGAGAAGTCTGGTAAGGGGCCTGCGAAGCCGTTGCCTCCCAGGCTACTGCACAGATCAACAGAGGCAGATGATCACTCAATTCGCGGGGCATGAGAGTTGGGCACGAAGAGAAATGGTGACAACGCATGCAGTGGTGGCAGCGCACACAGTGGGGGAGCTACTTACAGCGTGATAAGAGAGGAGGAGGCACTGAGAAACGGTGGAAGCCCCCCGGAAAGGAAGTTGTTCGCCAATTGCCTGGGTTGAGAGAGGAGGAAAAATCGAGAGAAGAGGGGGTTTGAATGCATTTGGATGCATGGAAAGAGATGCATCTAGCAGAGGCGAAGCTGAAAAGGGATGTGAAGGTGAAGAGTGAAGGCATGGAAGGAGGTGAGATTGAGGCGCGAGTAGCAGGCATATGCCTTATACTTTTGTGGATTTGCCTGCAGCAATTACTCGTGAATTACTATACAAGAACTTGATAATCAATTTATAAGAGGAAATAGATTTGTATATGATATGTATCCGTATAGACATCCGTGTTTGTACTTGCACTTGTTCTCAACCCTAAACGCCAATCCCTAAACCGCTGGAGCAGTGGATCGGCAGAGCTACTCACAACGAGATAAGTACAGAGAGCTGAAACAGGCCAGTTGAGATAGATCCATGGAATCTGTTGTCACTGAGATTACTGGACAGGAGTGCAAAGAACGATGACAATTTGACTATGTTACTTCTTCGGTGATAGTCACACAAAGCTACGGGTTTTGTTGATTCCACGCACAAGGCCAAACAGACAAACAGACTTGCTAAGGGTTTGACAGCTCCAACCCTTTGGCCCACCTGGTAATTCATCTTCGCCTATTCCTGCCGCATCCCTTTCAGTGCCCGTTGCAGTTCCGTTTTTTTTTTTTTTTTTTTTTTTTTTTTGGTTTTGGGTTTTTAGTGATCCCAAGAGGAAATCCGCCCCCCTTTCCCATGTCGGTCAGGTGTACGCCCGTTGCAGTTTCGTGGCCAGCCCTTATTGTTGTGTGCTGCTGCGCCCGCCAGCGCTGGCTCATGCTGGGTTGAGCAGGAGGCCCACTCACATGTCTATCAGGTTGACAAGCTCTGTCAACTCGCGAGGGATGGACCCAGAGAAACTGTTGTTGCTCAAGTCCCTGCCATTGCCATTGCCATTGCCACAACCAGCGCAATGTGAGTGAGATGTTAGAAAGTTGCCATGGTTTAAAACAAGTGGTAGAAGAACAAGTGCGCACCACTGCCTGTGGAATATGGGCATGGCTACATTTATTGCCCACACTCAACCATCGTTGCTGAAGGCCGCAAGCACAATGCATGTCTTAGGGCGTGTCCAGCGCCTTAATTTTGCCCCAACACGAGTTTTTGACGTTTTTTTTGCCGAAATATTGATTCGACAAGTGTGAATGTGTTGAGGTACACCTACAGTATCAACAGCAAAACGAGCGGACAGGAGCCCCGCCCGTATCTCGACAAATGAGCGGGTGCGCAGAGCGCACATAACAGACTGACACGCGAAAACAGCAGGGTAACCAAATTTCGCCCCTGGAAAGACGCCCCGCCTGGAAACATGCATTCAATTCTTCTTCCGCTTTTTTCGCCGTGTTTCGCAAGCGTCACGAAAGCCTGGCGAATATAATTTCGCCAGCCAGGATTTGGACGTTTCTTCTGCCGTGTATATAATTTGGGCACGATTTCCATTCGGTTCAGAAACGTGCGGCCCACGTCTGTGGGCACGTTTGGAGGGTCTCTGTCAAAACCGTCAATTTATCGTGCGTGTCCGAATGGACACGAATTTTCGGGTTACCAGGTCAAAAATTCGTACCTGATATGCAAGGTGAATAGTAAACGAACGCGCTGGACACGCCCTTACAGAACACCAAGGCCCTTGTGGTGGAGAAGAGGGCTGGGGAAGGTTCCTGTGAAGCGGTTGTTGCTTATGCTTCTGAAAGGCCAAGGCACGTGTGGTGGGGAGATGATGATGCCGTAACGAAAAAACACAAGGGCATGCACAAAGTCATGTAAGAAAACACACGTGCAAGCAGAACCTCATGCAGAGGCCGCTGCACCCAAACACACATACATGTGCACAATATTGATTGCACATGCTTGCACTGCAAACAGATGGGCATGTTGAGTGTAGTAATGGAGACAGGCAAACATGTGACGAAGCATAGCTGCACACAAGCGGTCATGAAGCACAAGCACAAGCAGAGCGCAATGAAATGAGAGTTGAAAGAGCCCACAATAACATAGTGGTGCCCTTGGATTTGAATAGGCAGGCTTTTGTTGTGTCTCACCCAGGTTCGAGAGGCGAAGCTGTTGCTGCATGCATGAGGTGAGAGATGGACGCTGCGCAACTCACATGGATGAGAGGGCCTTGAAAGCTGTGAAGGACGCTGGGAGCACACCGGAGAAGTTGTTGCTGTGGAGAATTCTGCGCAGCGAGAATCCGAAAGAGTGGTTCAGAATGTCTGCTGCTGTGCTGCACGCAGGAAACTATTGGAGCACGGCACAAGAAGATGAAGCGAGGTGGGAGCAAATATGCAGCAGCTGAGGTGGAGATGAGAGGCGGCCATTTACATGTCTGTGACCCATGTCACCTGAGCCATTCACATGTCTGTGATCCATGTCACCTGAGCCACTCACATGTCTGTAGGCTTGAGCAACGGGTCGGGTCGGGTCGGGTAACCCGACCTGAACCCGACTTTTTTTACGGGTCGGGTCAGGTTTCCCGTAGCCAGAACCCGATCCGTCGGGTTTGATTTTTACCCGTTGGGTCGGGTCAACCCGAACCCGACATGTACGGTTGACCCGACCCGACTTCGTGTATACATCGTTGGGTTGACCCGACCCGACCCGACCCGAACTCGGGTCGCCCCTTGAACCGACGCAATCTGAGCGACCAGAGTTGCGCAGATTTGGAAAATCTGATTATTTGGTCGAATTTTCGTCCCAACACGTCATTTCCCAGATCCTACTCAGGCTACCTCCCATTTCTACCATGCATCCAGCTCATTCCTACCACTAATCTACTCCCCACCATGCTTATTAGTACAGCTTAGGGTCTAGGCAGATCCAGATCGATTTCGATTGGATCGACTCAACCAACACACCTATTCAACAAATAAGCTCGACACCCCCCCCAACCCATCCGAATTTCGCCAACACCCCCAATCCAACCGAATTTCGCCAACACCCCAAACCATCAGAATTTCGCCAACACCCCCAACCCATCCGAATTTCGCCAACACCCCCAACCCAACCGACACCCCCAACCCACCCGAATTTCGCCAACACCCCCAACCCAACCGAATTTCGCCAACACCCCCAAACCATCCAAATTTCGCCAACACCCCCAACCCAACCGAATTTCGCCAACACCCCCAACCCAACCGAATTTCGCCAGCACCCCCAAACCATCCGAATTTCGCCAACACCCCCAACCCATCCGATTTTCGCCAGCACCATAACAACCCACCCAATTTTCGCCAACACCCGCAACCCACCCAAATTTTCGCCAAGACCCCCAAACCAGCAAAAAAATCGCCAACCATTTTTTCGCCAACACTCCCAACCCAACCAATCCAACACCCATCCCGTGACTGGTTTTCGCCAACATCCAACCCACATCTCGAGGTTGTGGATGGGAGGATGAGGTGGGTGCGTGGGCTAGACACGAGGAGGACATACTGGATCTCGAAATTACGAAATCCATATGTTTCCCTCAGGAAAAAATACTTAGGTCGGGTCAAGTCGGGTCGGGTCGGGTTGGATCGACCCGACCCGACCACGGGTAAGAGATAACCCGACCTGTTATGGTCGGGTCGGGTCGGCGAAATCCCAGGATCAACCCGACTTGACCCGACCCGACCCGACCCGAACCCGACATCGGGTAGGGCAAAGTCGGGTCGGGTCGGGTTTATGCTCAAGCCTACATGTCTATGAGCCATGTCACCTGAGCCATTCACATGTCTGTGAGCCATGTCTGTCACCTGAGCCATTCACATGCCTGTGAGCCATGTCACCTGAGCCACTGCCACTCACATGTCTGTGATCCATGTCACCTGAGCCATTCACATGTCTGTGAGCCATGTCACCTGAGCCACTGCCACTCACATGTCTGTGATCCATGTCACCTGAGCCACTCACATGTCTGTGAGGCATGTAACCAGAGCCACTCACATGTCGGTGAGCCACGTCATCTGAGCCATTCACATGTCTGTGAGCCATGTCTGTCACCTGAGCCACTCACATGTCTGTGAGCCATGTCACCTGAGCCACTCACATGTCTGTGAGCCATGTCGCCTGAGCCACTCACATGTCTGTGAGCCATGTCACCTGAGCCACTGCCACTCACATGTCTGTGATCCATGTCACCTGAGCCACTCACATGTCTGTGAGCCATGTCACCTGAGCCACTGACATGTCTGTGAGCCATGTCACCTGAGCCATTCACATGTCTGTGAGCCATGTCTGTCACCTGAGCCACTCACATGTCTGTGAGCCATGTCACCTGAGCCACTGCCACTCACATGTCTGTGATCCATGTCACCTGAGCCACTCACATGTCTGTGAGCCATGTCACCTGAGCCACTCACATGTCTGTGAGCCATGTCACCTGAGCCACTCACATGTCTGTGAGCCATGTCACCAGAGCCACTCACATGTCGGTGAGCCACGTCATCTGAGCCATTCACATGTCTGTGAGCCATGTCTGTCACCTGAGCCACTCACATGTCTGTGAGCCATGTCACCTGAGCCACTGCCACTCACATGTCTGTGATCCATGTCACCTGAGCCACTCACATGTCTGTGAGCCATGTCACCTGAGCCACTCACATGTCTGTGAGCCATGTCACCTGAGCCACTGCCACTCACATGTCTGTGATTCATGTCACCTGAGCCACTCACATGTCTGTGAGCCATGTCACCTGAGCCACTGCCACTCACATGTCTGTGATCCATGTCACCTGAGCCACTCACATGTCTGTGAGCCATGTCACCAGAGCCACTCACATGTCGGTGAGCCACGTCATCTGAGCCATTCACATGTCTGTGAGCCATGTCTGTCACCTGAGCCACTCACATGTCTGTGAGCCATGTCACCTGAGCCACTGCCACTCACATGTCTGTGATCCATGTCACCTGAGCCACTCACATGTCTGTGAGCCATGTCACCTGAGCCACTCACATGTCTGTGAGCCATGTCACCTGAGCCACTGCCACTCACATGTCTGTGATTCATGTCACCTGAGCCACTCACATGTCTGTGAGCCATGTCACCTGAGCCACTGCCACTCACATGTCTGTGATCCATGTCACCTGAGCCACTCACATATCTGTGAGCCATGTCACCTGAGCCATTCACATGTCTGTGAGCCATGTCTGTCACCTGAGCCACTCACATGTCTGTGAGCCATGTCACCTGAGCCACTGCCACTCACATGTCCGTGATCCATGTCACCTGAGCCACTCACATGTCTGTGAGCCATGTCACCAGAGCCACTCACATGTCGGTGAGCCACGTCATCTGAGCCATTCACATGTCTGTGAGCCATGTCTGTCACCTGAGCCACTCACATGTCTGTGAGCCATGTCACCTGAGCCACTGCCACTCACATGTCTGTGATCCATGTCACCTGAGCCACTCACATGTCTGTGAGCCATGTCACCTGAGCCACTCACATGTCTGTGAGCCATGTCACCTGAGCCACTGCCACTCACATGTCTGTGATCCATGTCACCTGAGCCATTCACATGTCTGTGAGCCATGTCTGTCACCTGAGCCACTCACATGTCTGTGAGCCATGTCACCTGAGCCACCCACATGTCTGTGAGCCATGTCACCTGAGCCACTGCCACTCACATGTCTGTGATCCATGTCACCTGAGCCACTCACATGTCTGTGAGCCATGTCACCTGAGCCACTCACATGTCTGTGAGCCATGTCACATGAGCCACTCACATGTCGGTGAGCCATGTCACCTGAGCCACTCACATAACTGTGAGCCATGTCACCTGAGCCACTCACATGTCTGTGAGCCATGTCACCTGAGCCACTCACATGTCGGTGAGCCATGTCACCTGAGCATCTGCCACTCACATGTCTGTGATCCATGTCACCTGAGCCACTCACATGTCTGTGAGCCATGTCACCTGAGCCACTCACATGTCTGTGAGCCATGTCACCTGAGCCACTGCCACTCACATGTCTGTGATCCATGTCACCTGAGCAATTCACATGTCTGTGAGCCATGTCTGTCACCTGAGCCACTCACATGTCTGTGAGCCATGTCACCTGAGCCACTGCCACTCACATGTCTGTGATCCATGTCACCTGAGCCACTCACATGTCTGTGAGCCACGTGACCTGAGCCAATCACATGTCTGTGAGCCATGTCATTTGAGGCACTCACATGTCTGTGAGCCGTGTCACCTGAGCCACTCACATATCTGTGAGCCATGTCACCTGAGCCATTCACATGTCCGTGAGCCATGTCTGTCACCTGAGCCACTCACATGTCTGTGAGCCATGTCACCTGAGCCACTGCCACTCACATGTCTGTGATCCATGTCACCTGAGCCACTCACATGTCTGTGAGCCATGTCACCTGAGCCTCTCACATGTCAGTGAGCCACGTCATCTGAGCCATTCACATGTCTGTGAGCCATGTCTGTCACCTGAGCCACTCACATGTCTGTGAGCCATGTCACCTGAGCAACAGCCACTCACATGTCTGTGATCCATGTCACCTGAGCCACTCACATGTCTGTGAGCCATGTCACCTGAGCCACTCACATGTCTGTGAGCCATGTCACCTGAGCCACTGCCACTCACATGTCTGTGATCCATGTCACCTGAGCCACTCACATGTCTGTGAGCCATGTCACCTGAGCCTCTCACATGTTGGTGAGCCACGTCATCTGAGCCATTCACATGTCTGTGAGCCATGTCTGTCACCTGAGCCACCCACATGTCTGTGAGCCATGTCACCTGAGCCACTGCCACTCACATGTCTGTGATCCATGTCACCTGAGCCACTCATATGTCTGTGAGCCATGTCACCTGAGCCACTCACATGTCTGTGAGCCATGTCACCTGAGCCACTCACATGTCTTTGAGCCATGTCACCTGAGCCACTCACATGTCTGTGAGCCATGTCACCTGAGCCACTCACATGTCTGTGAGCCATGTCACCTGAGGCACTCACATGTCTGTGAGCCATGTCACCTGAGCCACTGCCACTCACATGTCTGTGATCCATGTCACCTGAGCCACTCACATGTCTGTGAGCCATGTCACCTGAGCCACTCACATGTCTGTGAGCCATGTCACCTGAGCCACTCACATGTCTGTGAGCCATGTCACCTGAGCCATTCACATGTCTGTGAGCCATGTCTGTCACCTGAGCCACTCACATGTC